TGTGACAACTCACTGGGTAGCAGGGCAGATAAAAATGTAACTGCTGTAGGGTTACATTTTTACTTGGCACCTTGCTTGCAGTCAAGGAAACTCTTAACTCTTCACCACTCTGCTATATTTTGAACAATTTCATGCACCGTACTGTGCGAGTATAGTCTGGGGATGACCTCTTCCTTTTCCAACATGGGTGAAATGCAGTGGATAAAGAAAGGTCCATAAAGATATAGAGGAGGAAGTTTGGTGTGGAGGAAACTTGACTGGCCTCCACAGAGTTCTGGCTTCACCTCAACAGAACACCTTCGGATTGAATTTATGTGAAGAACGTGAGCCAAGCTTTTTCTGTCCAACATCAGTGCCTGACCTCAAAAATGAATAAAAAAGAATGGTAAAAGGTTCTTTTTTATGGAAAGCCTTTGCAGAAGAGTTGCAGTTGTTATAGCTGCAAAGGTCAACCAACGTCATTTTAACCTCATGAATTAAAAATCTGACATTGACTTTATAATGGTAAAATAATCCTGGACTAAAATGGTGACAAAAGGATTAATAAAAACAAATCTACTCAGACTTGAGATTTAAAACTGAGCTGGATGACAAAAATGTCTTTCAAATATTGACAGACAAGACTAGGTTGACATTGGGTCTTAATATTTCAAAAATATCAAGAGGCAGGTCAGATGTTAGATTGCACCTTTTCAGGTCTGCATAAGGAGAGACATACAGGATGAGACTAATGGTTTACCATTTATATAAAAAATATGGGTCAATTTTATGGCTTTAATTTTCTGTATTTGAGTCAAAGTAAGCTCAAATCAGATATGACCATATTTTGCTATAAGATGGCCTTCAAATCTTAATGGTTCCTCATTCTAACTTAAGTCAGTTAAAGTCAATGGAAACCTTCATTCCCAGTTTTTATTGATATATTTTGACATGATTTTTGTGACAAAAATGAACATTTCAAATTAGATCCTTTACCTCATGATGAATAAGTGCCTTGTGTGTTGTGCAAAGATTAAAAATCATAGCAAAACTGTTTAGTTTCTGAAACAAGTTTGGCAAGCGCATATATTTGTGGTGGTGTTCTAAAACAGAAACAAGTCCCTATGTTTATTCTTCAACTTAGAGATGTGGTTTCTGTGAAACCCTGCACAACACTTATAACCTGATGATCCTGGCTGACAGTCAGACAGACGATAATCACTTTACTGTGCCAACATTTCTCCATTGTGATTTCATTCATGACAAATCCTTTAATATACCGGAAAAAGTCCAGGTGCAGTTAAATAAATCAATAGCAACTCACAGGCTTCAGCACTGACACAACAAACCACAATACTTCTATGAATCTTTGTTAATGTTGACAAAAATGACATCCAGTAGATTGATATTCTATCTCTAGATGCGGCTAGCAGATGATAACCCCCAGTATTAAATATACATGTATGTAATACGACAGATCTGTATCTGGGTAAAAATGTAAACAATCGTATGATTTCATGTTTTTGGTTGAGAATGGCTGGTAATAAAAAAGCAACTGCACAATTTGTTGCATCTGAGAGGCTACTCGCCCACCTGTCTCTCACAGTAAGCCTTCATGAGTTTGATGAGCGGTGTGTGTCTTTTGATCTTGAATTGGACGACAGATCCATCCTGTCCAGCTACTTTCAGGTTTATGTGTTCGTTGTTTTCTGTCTTGACACCCTCCTGCGTAAAAGGGCAGACAGAAACAGAGGTGAGACATGGGTATTAAGAGGCATTGTTAGTAAAAGTTGTGCATTACGGTTTAATAAGACAGAGCAGGTGCATCATTAACCTCCCACTCAGGTTTGCAGTGGGAAGGTTAATGATGCAAGGTTTTAAATATTAGTATTTAAATAGATCTCTAGGAGTATATTTTTTCAGCTCTTTCTGAGTTGAAATGTTTTAAAACCATCTTTTGATGCAGTTACAAGTCTTTTGGGGTATGGACTTCCCAGCTTTACACTTCAGAGACTAAATATTTGCTTTTCTTAGCAAAATAGCTCAAGGTCTATAAGTATGGATGGAGAGCATCTGTTTACATCAGCTTTCAACTGAGATTCTCTTATATTTAATATAAGATAATTTGAGATATATTAGGATCTGACTGGGTCAGTCTAATATATCAAAATGCTTTGCTAAACCATTCTATTTTAATTTTAGCTGTTTGGTCTTGTTGGACTAGGGATTATGCTTTAAAACCTAATCTTGCTTTACACACCTCCACAATCCTAATTCGAAAATGACTTGTGCGTCTTCTGGTCTTTTCTAAAGCTACACAATATATAAAATTGCAAATATTAACATATTTGTGTTTGCAGTATGGGAACTACACAAGACTGTGTAGATGCAACATTTGGTAGCATATATCATAACATTTCAGATCTAAAGCATTAGGTCCAATACAGGGTTTCCCCCAGAAAACTTGCTAAGCCCAGTGGTCGGGGCGTCGAGGCGGTCCACCGTGTTTTTGTATTAACTAGAGGTGTGCCGATCGATCGGTCA